GTTTCCGCCTCCAGATTTAGGGCGAAGCAGGGACCAGAAGTTAGAATGGCATACGTGGAATTGCTGTATATTGTAAGAACAACATTCTAAACAATCCTCCACTGATCTTTATTTCGCGTACACATTTCTTTTTTCCCTTTTACTACCTTTTGTTGAGAATACAAAGATACAACTTTCAAGAAGGGGGAAGCGGCCAGTCAAAGGGCTAGTGTGCAGACTGAGGAAAGTGGTTTCTATTTGGTTCTGAAATCGATGGAGAGCTAATATAATTACAGATGTTATAGAAGTCGTTCAACATGTCAGTTTCTGGCTTTGTTTTGTAAACCAACTGATGATGGGGAGAGTCAAAACACGAACGATTTAGTAATGCATATCTGGCCGTTCAGTTGTAAAGAGTGACAGCCTCAAGGGGTTGTTTTCTTCGAATACCTTCTTGCCCTCGAAACTATAGTGGTTCAGTGGTCGACGAGGCTAACTGAGTTAACTCAGATCCAAATATGTAAGCTGCTGAGTTCGATCCCCAAAAATTAAATAAATCCAGACCGCTACTTAAACCCAGTGAGCGCGAATCAACCATATCACGCGTCTTAGTCTTTAGTTAAACGTTTTCCTGTGGGTTTTTTGTGCTTGCACTTCAATCATGTCGAAGCAATCGGACAGTGACTACTCCATATTTGAACTATTTGTTCCTCAAAGTTCGTAACTAGATTGCACTTAATTGGCAGCGTGACCTAATGAACTTTGTTCAGGGATCGTGATTTCAAGGCCATAAGTAATTCACTGGACATCTATCTGTCAACACGTAAAACAGAAATGTATGCGGTGCATTCCAAACGAGTTATGAATAGGTATGATGAAAGTCATCTTTGAGCTGGCGACTTAGTGATTTACAACCACACAGGTCAAAAAGGGGCTATTGCTGACCTGTAGGTATATTTTTTCCAATATTTTATCCATATAGATTAAAGTTATACTTTTCGGGATACCGTCCTTAGTGAATAGCATCCATCATTTTGCCATTGGACAATGGTGTTTCTGTAGTGAAAATCTGTGTCATTGCTGTTCACCCGAAAAAACGACAGTGTGTAGGAAGGCTCATTAATTTGGGTGAGTGAACGAATGTAAGGAACTATCTTCTGCATTGCGTTTTTGTTGAGGGAAGGGAAGGGGGTAACATTTTTATGTATTTTCCCATCAAAATCCATTATGCACACACTTCCCTTCGTTCGTTTACGCCCACACACACAACGCAAGAGAAACTGAAGTAGACTAGTTCAATAAGCGGCCCGGAAATCCTCGTTATCGTTGACGAACACAAAATTTGAATGTGAACACTGTCACTGATCCGTCATTACGACGAAGTCTGTGACAATTTGACAATATGCACAAACATGCGTCCGGACGGGAGTGAAGTGAGCGAAGATAGTGCACGGATGCTGTGCATTGGTGAAATTTTCTGATTAACAGTACTGTCTAAAGAAACCCTATCAAATAGTACGGTATTGTGGAGAAGCATATGTTTGGAGTCATATCATAATGTGTTCCAGGTAATAATCGGAATCGGGTTGAGGTCTTGTTTTGATTGTCTTGTTGTTGATTAATTCTGAATCTCCTAGGATTCAGCTCTCCTTTATTAGCTTAGGGAACGTATAAAAAGCATTCAAAAAGCATAACGATTGCGTGTGCACGTGTCTGGTGACAAGATGTTTTTACTTCTGTATCGGTTTGGAGTACAATAAGAAGTTCGGATTCGACGGATATCAGTAAAAGAGCCCTGCGTGCATCACATGATTATTGAATAAATTATCCCTGACCAGTCACCTGCAGGGATTTCAGAAGTACCACGTAAGATTATCACCCCTGAGTTAAGAGACAGCAGTATTCCTTGGGAAATGTAACAAATCTTAGTCCTCACGAGGTGCCCAGATCTTGCTTGTGATTCCAAACAGCTGAGGTATATATTAGCTGCCATATTCCAACAAATTGCTCGAAGTCGAACGAAATCAGATTTAAGGCGATCGAGGACAAATCTCTTCAGTGGAATGACCTATAGCATACGAAGAGTGATACTACTGATAACTGGAGGATTGTGAAGGAGGATCCATACACGTAATAGGAACACTTTTATTCTTGGATGACAACCACGTCTGTCGAATGCCAAATTAGCTCCTAAGAATCCACTGGAAACTGTGCAGCATCACTTTATTTTAAAGGTTGTATATGGGTGAGCGGAGGCTAGAAGTGTGAGCTCGAAAAAGACCGCGTACCTCAGACAGCATCTGATGTTTCACATTCACGGGAAAATGTATGAAATCTTCAGGGATCAAGCTGATTGTTTCCAAAAGTTTAGGTAAGGTCAAGTCAAGGGAGTATTTTGAAACAGATGTGAACTAACATAACTAGTTCAGGTCATAGGAACTGAAGTGAGTAGTGGTGATTATGTTACAAGAATTTAATCCTATTAAAATAGAAACTATAGATTCAATGGCTTAAGGCGCGCACCAATTGTTTTGCTGTCCAATATATATGAATTTAAATTGAAGGTAAAATATTTCACAATAATTTGAAGTTAAAAAGAGTAAAATAAAATTAAAAATAAACTCAAGTTATTCAGGGGTAATAGTCAGAAACGTCTAATAAGAATAGAATATATTACGCTTATTGTTGGATCTGTTTTAGGAAGGTCATATTCTTTCAGTCGAAGACATCTGCGATGTTCCATGTGCTAGTTCAAGATTTTCAAAAGCTTTCAATCAGGAAAATATATCTCTTACTTCGACTAACACTGTAGACAGCATCAACTGGTCACCAACCTTCCACCCCTACTTTTGAGCCCTTAACGTGTGAGAACCGAATTTCGTACTGGCCGGACTTTAGTTGACGACTGAGACTTTTGAACGCACAAGAGACTATCCCGTAAAACTACCCTGTATAATATTTTTCCAAAAAACATTACGGAGGAATAATCACATTGGGTTACTTTTACGAGGCCAAAAACCACTTGGTCAGAGTGACCTGATGTTTATAATTTTGACAGGTTTGACTGTCTCGTTCTTTTTCACGTCTGTTTAGTATCTGAGGTTTGTTCTTTTTNATAAACAAGTTTGATAGACTGTGATAATGATAAAACTGTCGAACTGTTGGTCGGAAGATTCTTAAGCAACAACTACACACTGTCACTCACACAAACACACAACTGAGGTGGAAAATTGTGTAGCTCACTCATTCGTGCGTGGCGTTTGGTGTGCATGTGCCCCCAAAGCATAGCATTTGAACTACGGCTCAGAATGATTAAATACAAATGCACACACATAACAACAACAACAAACACAACAAAAGTTCATGCTTTTCTCCATCTGATTCATTCCTCCGTTGATCGTTCACGACCTTTGTTTATCGATGTGCTTGTGTTTGTGTCAGCAATTGGAACGTGGATACCCTGACGTGTACCTCCCAAACCAGTCTAGTGTAACGGCTAACGCCATCACTTCAATACTTCACGAATACTGTGCGCTGATGAGTTGATGTGTTTTTGTGGGTGTGGGTGTGGGTGCGAGACCGCGTTTATCACCTTTCTAATTGGATTGGAGTAACTAAGCGTACAAAATCAAATAAATAGGGATTCACCGTGCGGGAAAAACGAAAAAAACTGATTCATCTCCGAAGCTAAACAGTACTGAACATCCGCATAGTGTGAGACAGCTAAAGTAACAATACTAATAAAAGTATTCCCAGAAGTGTTATTAAGTTTGAGTCGAGAAAACTCACCTCAATCGACGAAGTGAGAGACGATGAAGTAGGTGATTTGTTATTCCACCCAACTGACCGGTGGAACTTCTTGTGCTACCGGTCGAAGTAGAATCACCGGTCATGGAAGCACGTTTGTGCGCTAGAACGGATCCGAAATCGAAAGAGAGGGCACGTGGTTTGTTGGAATCACGTGGATTACGAGTCCGTGCATTCATCATACGGGAAGCCAATAGATCTGGATTCGTATTGGGCACGGTCAAGTAGTTGGATGACTCGGGTTCGATGGGATCGGAAGGAATGAGCCAAGTTCGATTATCCTGCAAACTTAGTTTCTTTGTACGGTTCTTGGAGAACCAGGTACGCTTGGCCGGCTGGTCTCGAATGAATGAGCTGTGTCTGCATCCCACCCTACATGTTGCACGTTTTGCGGTCGGAGCGATGGTCTCGGCCGAATGACATGTGACAGGATGCAGTGAGGTACAACTGAGCTCCGGTTGGGCATGCATGGTGAAGTTAGGCACTGACTTTCTTCGATCTGCGCCAGAATGACTCCGATCACTGAGATTTGGGGGATCCACGGATTCATCAACAGTGTCTTCTATTGGTGCACAATCAAACCCATTCATCGATGCAGGTCGACACAACGTGATCAGTGGTAATGGGTGGTATGGAACAGACTGAACCGGGGGTGCCCGATCCGTTTCCGGCCTATAATCCATGTGTGGTGTAGATTTACTATGTGCAATTAAGATTTGTGATTCACACAGATGACCATGTGATGGTAAGAGAAGGGAGAATGCATCGGGGGATGTGATGCACGGTTGCATCCACGATGTGTATTCTGGTCCTACTGTGCTTGTTGAGATCGAGGGAGATAGCCCGGACTGTGGAGTGGTGAGGCTCCGCGCACCAGCATTACTCGATTGAGAGTCGGAGAAAGAACCCCTCCGGTTGACCACACCAGTTATTGTTGACCTGTATAAATAGCTTTCATCCGAGGAGTCCGGAATACCATGTCCGTGAGCAACACTGTTATTGTTACACTTCGGTGCGTTCATATAAGACCAGTAATACTCACTCGGATTGTATGCATGCGAATGACAATAAGACAGGATTCGCATTGCAGTTTGCTCATCCGACAAGCCTACATCAGCTGATGGCGACCACAGAGGCCAAGTGCGAGCTTCGCTTAATCTCTCTGCATCCGACGACCGACGATATGCGTAGTCTGAACTTTCCGAATTTTCAGTTCTGGAATCTGGGGAAGGAAGATCAAATGGTTCGTCCGGGGCAGTATCGGGTGAACTGCAACTCGTTATTTCTGTCATTGACGAGAAACGACGTGACGGAGTTAGTTTTCCATCACAATGCGTTGAGTTTAGATCTTGTAAAGAGAGAAATTGAACGTTAGTATTAGTCCGGTTGTTCTGACTTCTTACGCAAGGCAGCGAACCACTGCCATAATTAAATCCAAGAACACGATCAATTGCATCCGGTTGAACGGAACGACTGTGCGATCCCGAAATCTCTGCTTCGCTATTCGTATCCGCATCACTATTCGGTTCGACAATCACAAGTGGAATAAGCCGGTTCTGGCGTAAATGACGTGGGTTTCGCATAAGCGGATCCAACTCCGATCTCATTTGGTGCATTTGGTGAAGGAAAACGGGATGACCTGGGCTAGGTTAGGAGCACCGGAAGTGCTCAAGTTAGTTTCGGGTTTCTAGAATACCGCAATTGGTGTCTCCGTAACTGCAGTGTTATATGAACGCGGTGATCGAGGTGGTGGTGATGCCAGTGGTAGCGGTGATGTGAATTTACAAGTATATGTGATCATTTCCCAAACAATCTGTTCAACCTAGACCGGTTGGTTTACGTTCGTAGAAGATGCACACGGATTGGTGGTTTACATTTGTACAGAGAAGACCAAACACTGACGAGGCAAGATCGACTGCGGTAGTAGTCATCTGTCACTTGTTTTCCGGTTTGATTGTCTTTGACCTGCGTACTATGCAGGTGTCTTTCGCCCCATTTACTTGTGTATGTTTGTGTGCGTGAATGTTGCAACACTCGTGTGCTAGTATCTGTCCACCCGGATATACACACCCGTGCGCCACAATGAAATACGTAGACACGCAAGCACACACGTCGGTATATATGTACCGAGTTGAACAGTTTTCCCATTGAATTTGGACAGTATATGTTGTGTGTCAGACAGGTACAGGTATATGCATTCTGATTGGTTATTACTACTTCTCCGGGTTCATGCTACTGAAAAATGTTTGGGAGTAGTCAGATTTGAATCACGATATACACGGATTTTTAGATTACATAATCTGACTTTTTAAACGCTTGGTGCTTATAACACCAAAAAGCGGAGACAATCTCTATGTGTTAAACTCCTAACCTTGCAAAGACACACACTTTTAATGGTAAAGTACAACTCCGATACTCAAACAATAAAACCGATTGTGGATATCCGTGTGAGATGAATAACATTCACGCCATAAACTATCCGCCCTGAGTTTATCTGCTCGCACCAGCCACTCATCTCCCACGTGTCTGAACGCATCGTGAACTCTTAATGTCCAGTAAGGAAATATATTTAATCACCTTGATCATCCTCTCACACTAAGGCTGACCACAGTTATCGAGTAAGATTAAATTGGATGTCATATTTAGTGCTGCTCAGTTGGTAATTGGCCTGTCAGGTTCAAAAGGCAGTGCAGCAAATGTCCTGGTTATTCTCCTCCCCAGCGAACCGTTGACCGCGATAACAGAGGCTTATGCAGGCGGATTAATTTTGAAGGATGATAGGTCGAAGGCATATATATATATATATATATACCAATTAACCCAACGTACTATATGCATGCAAACGTCAGTCCGTATCGCTGTGTAGCTGGTATGAGACGCGGTATTTTACCAACCAAAGAACTAAAGAACAAGCCAGTTTGAGATAAAAACTGCAATGGCCAAAACTTGATAAAGAAGCGCTTACTGGAAAATTCTACTTGGAATGCACGTGCATCCTTCTACACACACCAGGTTCCCTATCATATTGATAGGGCACATATTTGGTCAGTTGATTGGGTTACAAACCATGGATACTTTCGTTATAGGTGAATGATAATGCGGTAGAAATCGTTCGTTTAAACACTCGCTGACTGGCTCACATAGGTCCCGTTAGACTCCCTGGTTTAGGACCCAAAGATCATGGTCACCGGTGGTCAGAGACACCGAGCGATATGGCTGGGTGTCGCAAACAGTGGCGCTAATGCATCTACTCACTATTCTTGTAACTATGAAAATGTGCTACCTTCCGCTCAAATCTGCTCTCAATATTTTAATCATCATTCTGCTATTTTATCTAAATGGGCAACTAAAAGACAACAACAAAAACCGGCGCACGAAATTGCAAGGTTAATGGTTGCAAGAACTGAACTGAACTAAATTGAACACTGCATCAAGAAAATAATTGCCTTTCCTAAAGCTTTTAGTACTGATTGCAGGTTATTTAATCCACTGGAATTTAATTTTTTTGGCAGCGCTTTTGAGAGTAAATACAACTGTATCACTTTGTGGAATCACTCTTTTGCTGTGCACTCATGCATCCTCTAATCCCCTAAATGAAACACTGGATTGTGTCCTTTAGTTGTTTAGACCAGATAAGGGCGTTACACTCGTCCAAAATTACGAGAACACTCTGAGTAAAGGGAATCAAGTGTACAACGGAATGATGTGCTCGAGATGAAAACACAGATAATGACTTCACTACAGCACACCACACCAGAGCCCGTCATAGTTAATTAATTTGTGTCTGAGAATACCTGACCTTGGGCCTCTAGTTGCTCAAATTACCCAGCTTGTTGTGTCTATAAGTTCTTATATTTCTACTCTTCACCAGACTAGTGAGCGTAAGACGGATTTTATTTTTATACGAGAAATAAATCAAGATCGTGTTCACATTGTTGGTTCATTTATTGCAAAATTACAACCAAACAGATATGCATCATTCGAACTAAGTACAACTTCCTCCTATGCGAAGAAATGATCAGCTCGAGTGCGCTAAAACGTATTTCCATTCACGACTTTGTCCGTAGATTAAGTACCTCACAGGACCTTGGTACAATATGGAAGACCTAAATTCGTCTAAAGTGTTCAGGTTGGAAGTATTGTTTCCGGAATAATAAATAAATAAATAAAAATGTTTTTCAAAGAAGATCATTGAGCAAGTTGGAGTATTCTTCTGATGGGAGTGATAGATCCAGAAGTGTAATGAATGAATCCAGTTCAAATGAAATAAACAGTATTGGAAACATGGAAGTAGGTCACACTCAAAACTTAGAAGAAATCTACAGTATGCGGAACAGATAAAACTAGTTTTCGCGTTAATCAAGAGTGTACAAGATTGCTCATCGATCCAAATACGATCGGATAACAGATAGTACCGTCATTCAATATTTGACAATCAGGATAAACCAAAGAATTCAGTAAGCAGATAGCTAGGCTGCATACACGACCTCTCAATCTCGGACAGTTGCATCAAAAAATAAAACTCCGATTTTTCATTGCACTAGTATACTAAAACTACTACCGCTACCACACTACTATACGTTATTCTAATATCTCTGTGTTTTAGAGAGAGGAGGGAACTGGTTTCTTTGTCCATCAGTGTAGAGTGAACCCACCAATAGTCTAACCGATTATCACAGAAGATGCATGAAAGCACACTACATCGGAAAGGGAAACGAGCATGTTTTCCTGTACTTGAATTCTGCCTTGCCGGTCAAGATGTTTTCCAGTTCATCAGTGGCTATATATTTGGGTTGGTGTTGTTGTGTTCTCCCAGTCGGAGAACACACTAACACCAAGGTCTACATCATGAGCTTCAATCGTTCCACATAATATTCACTATTTGTTTGTGGTATTTAATCCGTGTGAGAAATTCAAGCATGTTTGTTGGTTTGATTTGCAGATCAAGAATTGGATTGAAACAGTGATCTTGTAAAACGGACCTTTTGTCTTTAGTTCCTCACTCCCTTTTCCGTAAAACACGGATGTAATAACTGCCAGAATGAAGGATTTAACTCAAGCACAGACACACACACACACCCACACTAACTTCCTCGTTTTCATGATTCCTTTTTTATGTCACTTGGACATTTCATGTCTTGGTGGGTCACAGGGGGAAGGAGAACATGGAGGCAGTTGAAAGTTAATCAAAAGAAGGTAAGCACAAATCGATGCAATTTGAACTCTCATCTCCCTTCATCCTGCCTTGATAACTATGGACTATCTACTGCGCTCTTCTTCGTTTGAAATCGATATTTGACTGGGTACATTTTACTCACAATCAACTGAAATGACAATATGGTGTGTATTGGATTTCATTATGGCGTCTCTTGAATGGTATTGCACAACGGGGTGGGCGTATCTGTCTGTCTTATGGTCCAATCGATTGCATTTGGATCCATTGTCAGAATCCGAGAGAAAACGTGATTCGGAAGGTAGTGCAATGTGGAGTAAACGGTAATCAAGTGTAAAAGATTTCTTTACAAAAACCTCACCCTAGTGAGAAAACCAAGGTGTTTGAATGTTTCATTAGGAGTATCCTTTATGAGAGATTACCCGGCGCTTTCAAACTACCGTAGCTATTTATGGTGTTGTGTCTGTGCACCTGTTGATTTGTAATCATTCAAACTCTTCGCTTTCTTGTTAGTAGGATGCAGCAGCGGCAGCATCATTCGTAGAACACGGCTAGGATTCCACAGAATGTGAAAGGTATTCAAAACACGATCTGTTTTCTATAATATTGTTCCTAAATCACTGCAATCCTGTTTATTCCATCCGATAATTGTAAAGTAGATGGATGAACTCAATTGGTTAATTCATTAACCGGGTTGTTGGTGGATCAGGCAAACTGTCACGTATTTCGTGTCCGAACTGGTGGACCGTTCAGAAAGAAACGTAAACAACCGTTTGTCCGGGGAAAGCAGAAGGCAACAGAAGGCAAAGCGCTTACCACATCAACAGTGCCCGTAACCCGGTACATCACTTTTGACCCATTCAGCGGAATCCTTTCCAGTAATGTAAACGATATTTTATTTCTACCGATTCTGAGATGTACGATACCATCGAGCTTGGATCGGCATCCGTTCCACAAAAACGCCAAATCACTGGTGTCACTGGTGTTCTTTTATTTCCTCGTATTCCGATAGATGTAAGTGGCAGCATACGTACACATGGATGGCAGATTGTCATTAAAGCATGCGGTCCTTATTCCGACAAAATATCTGGGAAGATGTTACGCACAAGCCGCTCAGATATGAAGCCCTCAGATGACGAAATCCATCATTATTTAGAAACCTTGTTGTTCAGCGCTCGCACCAATTAGAATTATACTGTTCTACCATTCGTTGATGGATAAAAGATTTAGGTACTGAATATTGCTACAATATAGCAGTGTATGCATTCAACAGACCATGCTGCCCCAGTCAAGCAGTAGTTTTACACTCGGTCTACACCGTGCATAAGAGATGATTGAGAACAATGTTCGACACAAATGAACCAATTAGATCAAGTGGTTTCATTGCGCAAAGAAACCACTCACGTTGAGCGAGAATAAATTCATCATGAGTTCTGATAACTC